TTAAGCTCACCTGAGCTGAAGGCTCAAGTGAGCTTTTCTGATTGAAATTTGTCTGTTGTCTGTCGTCGTCGTTGTCGTCATAAACTTTTCACATTTTCGCCTTCTTTCTCAAGAACCATTGGGCCAATTTCAACCAAACTTGTAACAAAGTATCCTTGGGTAAAGGGGATTCAAGTTTGTTCAAATGAAGGGCCACTCCTTCTTCCAAGGGGAGATAATTATGAATTCATAAAAAATTTATGGCATCATTTCAAAAATCTTTTTCTCAAGAAACACTGTGCTTGAAAATATGAAACTTATATAAATCGAAGCATCCTCAGGTAGTGTAGATTCAAGTTTGTTCAAATCATGATCCTCAGGGGTAGGGTGGGGCCACAATGGGTGATCAAAGTTTTACATAATAAAACATATATAGGAAAAATCTTTAAAAATCCTCTTCTCAAGAACAGCGAAGCCATGATTGGTCATATTTATATGGAAGCATCCTCAGGTAGTGTAGATTCAAGTTTATTCAAATCATGACCCCCAGGGGTAGGGTGGGGCCACAATGGGCGATCAAAGTTTTACATAGGAAAAGTCTTTAAAAATCTTCTTCTCAAGAACAGCAAAGCCATGGTTGGTCAAATTTAAATGGAAGCATTCTCAGGTAGTGTAGATTCAAATTTTTTCAAACCATGCCCCCAGGGGTAGGGTGGGGCCACAATGGGCGATCAAAGTTTTACATAATAAAACATATATAGGAAAAATCTTTAAAAATCCTCTTCTCAGGAACAGCAAAGCCATGATTGGTCATATTTATAGGGAAGAATCCTCAGGTAGTGTAGATTCAAGTTTTTTTTTTTCAGATCATGACCCCCAGGGATAGAGTGGGGCCACAGTGGGCGATCAAAGTTTTACATAGGAATACTATATATAGGAAAACTCTTTAAAAATCCTCTTCTCAAGAACAGCAAAGCCAATGTCCATGATTGGTCATATTTATTTGGAAGCATTCTCAGGTAGTGTTGATTCAAGTTTGATCAAATCATGATCCTCAGGGGTAGGGTGGGGCCACAATGGGTGATCAAAGTTTTACATAGGAATACATAGGAAAAAATCTTTCGAAATCTTCTTAAGAAAAACATAGCCATGATTGGTCATATTTAAATGGAAGCATCCTCAGGTAATGTCAATTCAAATTTGTTCAAATCATGAACCTTAGGAGAATAGGGGGGCCAAAACAGGGGATCATAGTTATACAAATATATATCAATAAAAATTTTCTTCTTAAGAACAGCAAAGCCATTATTTGTCATATTACTTCAAAAGCATCCCTATGAAGCATAGATTCAAGCTAGTTCAGATCAACCCCTGAACCACTTTTATATTTAAACTTTTCAAGACTAAACTGATTTCTGCATTTTCCTAGCCAGAGTGCTCAGGTGAGAGATATGGCCCCTGGGCCTCTTGTTTTCATTTTTTTAATATATTAATAGAGCATATTTGGATGGTAGGATGTTTTACTATTTTACATAATTTTTTAACAATTATGGTAATTCAAAAGTATGAACTAAAAATTAACTATTTCCTGAATTTAAAACAATGTTTTAAATATTGGTATTTTATTCTATGTGTCACAATACGTATCTCGTAATCTGCAAAAATATGTTATACCGATATTCTGATAAAACCACACATCCCTAATGAGAATAGAGGAAGAGATTGACATACAGCCCATAAATTTTTCCTCTGAAATACACCAAACAATATGTATCAAGCATAGATATAACCAGACATGAATATGTATCAATGTGTTTGAAATGTAAAGGAAAACAACTTGTTATAAAGTTCAGTCTCCAGACCTCTGATGTAATAGGTAGAACATGTTCATTGATTTGTAAGTAACTAAGTTCATATGTAATAAATTCCGTAAGAGAATCAACTGCGTCACACCTCAACATTAAATGTGTGGGCAATGTGTCATATTAGATATAAGACAAACCATTAAGTGTTTAAGACAGATCATTGTCTCTGGCTTTATTGATCAATTCATTCTGCATGTTTTCTATGTATATTCATGATAGTATTGAATGTTAACATAGGTAGTTTAAAATGTTGGTTTTGAATTTCATTCTAGCAATTATTCAGAAAGAAAATGTAGAAGATTCCCAACTATTAAGAATACAACCAGGAACGAGCCATTGTGAAGGTAGGAAAATAACCTAAACACAAATAGTGAAATGAAATTGTATAATGTCTCAACATTCTTTACATGAGTATTGACAATGTGTGTAAACAAGCAGGTTGTGAGCTTTTTTTTTTTTTTTTAACAAAGTGCATATGGTCTTGCTGATAGAAAATCATGCATAATCATGCATTGTTGATTTATACCTAGTTAATAGATTTACTATCATGTCACTCAACTATGAACACAAGAAAGGCAATTAATGCACAAGTTCCTTTGAATGGTATTTGTACATGAAAATAGGTAGAACACCACTTAATTACCAAAATTATGCAAGCTTTTATAAGTGAATGTTAATCGTATAAATAAAAGCAAACTTCTGGAGAAATTCCGTTTTAGACCATGTGAAACAATGCTTCTAAACATTTTAATACCATAAAACATGGCCATCCAGTAAAGCAAGTGAGTTTATTGTCATCAAAGTCAAATATAAGCAGCATAAAGGGGAAAAAATATTTAATTAATCTTCTCCAAAACAGCAAGGCCATGTTAGTCATATTGATGCAATCCTATATTGTTTAGATTCAAACGGAGAAAAATCTTTTATATATTTTCTCCAGAACAGCAAGGTCATGATGATGAGTCGTATAGATATGGAAGCAATCCCATATTGTGTGGATTTAGATTTGGCTAAGTCATGATCCCTTGGATGGGGTCACAAAATGGGATCATGATATTTCATGAGACAAAAGATATGGAAATCTTTTAAAAATCTTTTGAAGTACAGTCAAACCTCGTTATCTCAAACTCGAAGGGACAAAGAAAAAGCATTGAGATATTCGAGGATTTGAGTTATCCAAGGTAAAATACTTAAAGAGTAAGTGGTTGGGACTTAGAGATCACTTCGATATATCCATGGTATTCGAGATATCAGTGTTCAAGATAACGAAGTTCAGCTGTACATTTGACTAAGATAACTCAGGTGAGTGTTGTGGCCATTAGGGCTCTTAAACTATTCCATCTAAGGAGTTATGCATAAAACTTCACAGACAAGGGAGTGATACATGCACCGGTAATTGTTTTGAGACATGCATAATGAGAAATTATTTGTGTAATTTTGGAAAGTATTTCCTTTAAGTGTTTACCAAACCAAAAGGGTTCATAACAGAAAACAATTTTATTTTGATGTAGAGTCCTATAAGGAACTCTGACAACAACAGGCTCATAAACTGAACATTTTTAAAATCATTTCTGTAATCCTCACAAAAAAAATACCAGGGAAAAAAAGATACTTGAAAAAAATTCTTGTAGCTAGGTTGTGTTTTTTGAATATATATTATTCTGTTTTTAGCTCACCTTGACAAAATTGAGATGAGCTTATATGTCATTCCTCTGGTGTTGATGTCTGTGTTAGCTAGCATTGTCATCCTGGTAAAAGCAAGTCCATTCCTAAGTAACTATAAGCCCTACAGTACCTGGACCAAACTTGCATGGATGATGCATCTAGGGATGTATGCTAAAAGACTTACTTCAGATGCTGTATGATGTACATTTTCTGGATGAGTGACCAGTTTAAAGTTTCTAGAGCAAGTCCATTCTGAAGTATCGATAAGCCCTATGGTGACCAAACTTGCAAAGATGATGCATCAGGGATGGACAATACCAGACATGCTTCAAAGACTGAATTTGACCTACACTTTTTGGATGAGTAACTGAGCAAGTCCATACCAGGTTACTACATGTATAAGCCCTATAGTCATAGTAACTAAGCTAACATTGATAATGCATCTAGGGATGTACACTACCAGCCACACTTTGGATGCTGGATCTGACTTACATTTTCCAGATGAGTGACTAGGTTAAGCTTTTTGGAGCAAGCTAGTCCATTCCCAAGCAATTAAACCTTTTGGTGACAAAACTTGCATGGATGATGACAGAGGTGAATGTATGAGCCGATGGTAGAGAGTGCAAAATTGCACATAAAATGCATCTAGGTTTATACACTACCAGACTTGCTTTGGAAGATGGATATGACCCACATTTACTTGATGAGTGACCAGGATAAAGTTTTTGGAGCAAGTCCATTCCCAAGTAATTATAAGCTTTATGGTGACCAAATGTGTAGGGGTGATGCATCTAGGGATGTATACTTTCAGACATGCTTTGGAAGCTAGATCTGACCTACATATTATGGATGAATGACTACGTTAAAGTTTTTAGAGCAACTACTATAAGCTTTATAGGGACCAAAGTTGCAAATATGTTTACGTATTTGAGAGACATGAATAATGTTTTTTATGTTTCTGCTTATTTGTATTATAACATTGTGAACATGATTACTTGATTTTGTATCATATAGAAATCTATAATTATAACTTGTTGTCTTCACAAAAAAATCAATCCATTCATATTTAATTGTATAATATATTGTAATTATGCATAGAATCTCCATCTGCATAATAAATTCATCTTATTAAAACTGATAGATCTGTTCTGTTTTCTGACTTTTACCTATCTTTAATTTCCTAAGGTAAGCCCATTGTTCATTATTTTAACAGTTGTAAACACACGTTTTGTGTTAATTGAGATGTTATATAATTAGACTTGAATATCTTTGTCAGATGGTTAGATAGGGAAGAAGGAAAATGTAAGGTGTAACAATCACCTGTACATGAGAACCATATTATCACACCTACAATATGTTAGAATCACCAGTGAAATCACAGCTCTTTAATATATAAAAATATATATCAGATATAAGACATTGATATCTCGTATGGAAAAATGTGGCATTTTAGAAAATCCTTTGTCATGATAAAATGTTATTGATTTCAAGTGTGTGAAGAAGATGAAGGAAAAATTTGACCGCAGTGGAATTGGCAAAAGTAAAGGACGAACCCACAGCCCAAAGCCCCGTAAACCAGCTACCAATTTCAGTGTCAGTCCGACTGTGAAGGAGTTCCAGGTAATTTGCTGACTTGATGCCGTAGCACCCTCTTTTTATTATAACAGCCTCGGGTATACGTTATTCTGTGAAAAGTAAAAAAAAATTATGAATATCTTGCATTAATTTATGTCATTCTGAGGGCATTTGTTTACAAACTTCCCTGTTAGGATCTACAAACTATCACAGAATTATTTAGAGTTATGTAGGTAATTAGAATAAATTGTACTAACAAAATTATTCAGCACTTCAGTGGGTTCTAGTAAAAAGAAACACAGAAGTTTAGGGTGTCCGTGTAAATAGACAACATTGATCCCGACAGAGGAAATTCAGGATACTGTATGCATGGAAGTGACTGATCAACTGTTATTTGATATGATTTCATAGGCAAAATGAAATACAGTGAAACATGGTTATAGCAAACAGGCTTATAATGAATTAACACTTACAGTGAAGTGATTTTCATTCCTCAATGGTTTAAAAATGTGATGTGAAATGAATGATAGAACAAATTATGTTTATAATGAATTGTTGGTCTGTGGCACTTCGCTATATGCTTGTTTTGCTGTATTTGACCTAGTGCTGAAGGTGCTCTGACTTCATGAGGATCTTTGTCAGGCCTGCATGACCAACCTGTTCACCCAGTCAATGGATATTGTTTCTGCATGATAATCTCCAACAAGCTATGATATGTATATGTATTAATATTTATTATTTTCTCAATTCATTAAATAGCTAAATGAATGGCTTGAGTGTTTGTGATTTCAACAGAAATTGCTAAAATGTGCTATTAAGGTCATAAAACAAGGTTAAATCCACATATAGAGTGTAAAATTCCACGACTGATTGAATTCTGGGATTGCTATGCAATCTCACATGATCTCAATACTGATGTATGCTGATGGAGAATTTAAGATTTTGACTCGTTTAAGCATCATATATATTTGGAATATTGTCAGAATAGCCAAGGTTTCAAGTCACAAGTCTTCCCTACAAATTTATAAGACTGGCCAGAAAAAAATGTGAAAAAAAATTATGAAACTGTTTTATCTAATGATATTGAATCAGAGAAGGAAGAAATGACAGATTCATGACATGATGAAGAAAATGCTCTAAATCGCTTTAAGGTCAACTCAGAAAGGTTAATGTCTTCGCTTTGCCTTTTTGATTGCTTCATTAATACTTGGTCAACAGCATAATAACAGTGCAATACAGGCCAATACTTAGTTATAGAACACATCATGGCTGCTAATTAGGAGAGTTTTTACTTTCGTATATTTTTAGAAATATTATAGTGATACTATTGTGGTATATCAATATAAATAATAGCCATCATTGGAATGTAGAGTTTTAGCTCATCAGCATCATCATGCATGATCTAAAATGGAGAATTTATGGTCGCTAGAACTTTTTTTAAAGAAATAGAATATGGAAATGTGTTTTTACATAGTAATTGACAATTAATTATACTAATGTCAGAGAGTAATTAAAAGATTTGTATTAATGAAGTAATTCTTCTCTGATATTCCCTAGTCCATCTCTCCACGGATGTCAGTATAAGGTTTTCATGCACTGTATATTGAAATAGTTGTGACAGTCACACATAATTTATCACTATTGTACACTCTGTCAATTATCATATCTTCTTTTGGATTAGCCCAAATTAATATTTTTTTTTTTACGACTGCCATTTTTTTTTTAATGAAGGAGATGAAAATAAAGTGTGAAGAAGAGGAGGAAGGAGAAGAGATGCATACTGTTGTTGAGGCCCCGCCCCTTCCCCAACCCTCCCCCGTGGTCATTCCCATCAGAAAGGGCAGGAAAGGGTCCAAATGGCAGGCTTCAGGATTTATCACAAAAATTGGGGACCAGATTTCCTCATACACTGCAGAGAACGGGGTGACATACAGACAGGGTGGTTTGTATCTGTTAGCTTATTATGCTTTGCAGTAGAGTATCCTAGTATGACATCACTTTTAGAAGATATTTTAATGTTTTTTCATCTAGTAATTTAAATTCTAGTGTAAGAAAGATAGTAGTTTATTATGGTTAGAACAATTAAAAAAAAAAAAATTAGATGTATGGCAAGCATTGTGGATTTCATATTGGATATAGAGCTTGTTAAGCTCACCTGAGCTGAATTGAGCTATTCTGATTGAAATTTGTCCATTGTCTGTTGTTGTGGTGTCTGTAAACTTTGTACATTTTCATCTGCTCTAGACTCACTGGACCAGTTTCAACCGAACTTGGCACGGAGCATCCTTTGGTGAAAGAGAATCAAATTTGTTGAAATGAAGGGTCATGTTGTGTTTCAAGGGGAGTTAATAAATAAGTAGTGAAAATTGGATGGGGTCATTTAAAAATCTTCTTCTCAAGAACGACTGGTCAGAAAGCTTCATTACATATTGTAGATTCAAATTTGTTTAAATCATGATTCCCTAGGGAAGGGTGAGGCCATAATTGGCGATCAACATTTTATAGGATTATTGAGAAAAAAATATTTAAAAATCTTCTTCTCAAGAACAACAGAGTTGCAGATCAAAGACTCATGATTAGTCATATTGACATGGAAGCATCCTCAGTTGGTGTAGATTCAAGTTTGTTAAAATCATTATCCCTGGGTGGTACCCAAGTGGGTGATCAAAGTTTGACATACGTATATATAGGGGAAAAACTTTAAAAAGCTACTTCTCAAGAACAGCAATGCCATGATTAGTCATATTGATATGAAAGCACCCTCAGGTTGTGTAGATTCAGATTTGTTAAAATCATGACCTCTGGGGGTAGGGTAGGACTAAAATGGTTGAACAATATATTATAGGTAAAAAATCTGAAGAAAAGGAGTGCCATAGTGACTCTTGTGAGCATTGTGGCCCATGGGCCTCTTGTTATGATATGTACTTGTTCATGTTACCATTACAGACACAATCTACCTGGAAAACCCTAGGCTGGATAATCCTTACTATGTGTGCAGCATCAAAGAATTCAGACTGGTAAATATATACAGTAACACTTGTAAAACACTTATAAGGAACTTGTATATAAAGACATCTCTGTTACAAGGAAGTTATTTTTTTCCCATCCCTCATTATGATATCATAACACTTTTTAATATATATACTGTATATAAATAAATTTGGTTTTGTAGAACTAAAAATTCATTTCCTTAGGACTTCCCTATAAGCAATTTTTACTGTACATGTATATATACATAAACAATTAGGTCTAGAAAAAGAAATGTCTGTTTCCGCTTTCAGGCAGAAAAAAATTAGGGTAGGTAGGTAGGCAATTTTTATTTTTTTTTTTTTTACTTCTTTTATCAAAAAATCTGTAGAAATAACACTAATGTGACTTAAATTTATAGTAGAATTTTTCATACATGACAGGGACTAAACTAGACCCATACTTTAGAGAAACTTCACTTCTCCCTCGCAACAAATCAGGAAGAAGTTTTGAAAATCAGGGAGACTATATATTTCTACCATAAACAACAGACACCCCACTCTTCAATTTTTTTAACACTCAAAAAAAAGTTTCACATAATATGTTTAGATATGAAATGAATTTAAACTTTGTAATAAAACTCTTATTCAAATCTACCTAGAAAAAAAAATCATTATTATATTCATGATTGAGTTTTCAATTTAGTGGACATATGTTGGGTTGGGGGGTTAAATTGTTTTCTTAAATGTTTATATTTGTACTTTATGTATTAAAATTAAGTAAAACAAATGAATAAAAATATTCTCTTGATTAGACCTATGTTATTGAGAGAATAATAAAAAAAGATTAGGAAAAAATGTTGGATGACATTTTTCGTGCCTTTATGGGAATTAGTTTAACCCGTCTATTTATATCCGTAATGCATGTTTATACAATTAGCTTATTTACATCTCTCATGTTTTATAATCAGTATATCATTTAAGTGTCTTAAATTGCATGAAAGTACTTTAATAACTAATAACAAAACATCGGTGGTCATTTACAAGATGTGTTGCATCAATAATTTACATACGATCCCATGATGATACCTGCCGAGATTTTCAGAACTGTTGCTGTGAAAACGGCTTTATGGGGGACTATTTATTACACTTTTCTCTAATTAGGTCACCTGAGTGACTCAGGTGACCTATTGCTATCTGTTTTCGTCCGTTGGCGTGCGGGTGTGCGTCGTGCATAAACTTTTCACATTTTCGACTTCTTCTCAAGAACCACTGGGCCAATTTCCACCAAACTTGCCACAAACTATCCTTGGGTAAAGATGATTCAAGTTTGTTGAAATGAAGGGCCACGCCTTCTTCCAAGGGGAGATAATTAAGAATTAGTGAAAAATTAATGGTATCTTTTAAAAATCTTCTTCTCAAGAACCACTGGACCAGGTAAGATGAAATTTGTATGGAAACATCCTCAGGTAGTGTAGACTCAAGTTTGTTCAAATCATAACCCCCAGGGGTAGGGTGGGGCCACAATGGAGGATCAAAGTTTTACATAGAAATATATAGGAAAAATCTTTAAAAATCTTCTTCTCAAGAACAGCTAAGCCCTGATTGCTCATATTTATGTGGAAGCATCTTCAGGTAGTGTAGATTCAAGTTTGTTCAAATCATAACCCCCGGGAGTAGGGTGGGGCCACAATGGATGATCAAAGTTTACATAGAAATATATAGGAAAAATCTTTTAAAATCTTCTTCTCAAAAACAGCAAAGCCATGATGAGTCATATTTATATGGAAGCATCCTCAGGTAGTGTAGATTCAAGTTTGTTCAAATCATAACACCCTGGGGTAGGGTGGGGCCACAGTGGATGATCAATGTTTTACGTAGAAATATATAGGAAAAATCTTTTAAAATCTTCTTCTCAGGAACAGCAAAGCCATGATTGGTCAATACAGTATATGGAAGCATCCTCAGGTAGTGTAGATTCAAGTTTGTTCAAATCCTGACCCCCGGGGGTAGGGTGAGGCCACAATGGGGAATCAAAGTCTTACATAGGAATATATAGAAAAATTTCTTCTTCTCAAGAACTGCAAAGCCATGATTAGTCATTTTAATATGATCAAAGTTTTACATAGAAAAAATCATTAAAAATTGAAAAAATTCTTTTCTCAAGAACAGCAAAGCCTTGATTGGTATATTTACATGGGAACATCCTCAGCTAGTATAGATTCAAGTTTTTTCAAATCATGACTCTGGACTCTGGGGATAGGGTGGGGCCACAAGGGACAATCAAAGATTTACAAAAGCTTCTTCTATCAGTTTATTTTATACTCTATGGATCTTCTGTGGATTGTTGTTTTATACTCAGGTGACTGTTAAGGCCCTTGGGCCTCTTGTTTAATTTAAGGAAGATGATTTTATAATTGTAAAAGAAAGTAGAAAGGCGACTGAAACTTCTCTCTGTCTTGAAAAGCTTGCGAAGTTGGCGACTATTTCACCCAAGTTGCTCTTGCATGGGACAAAAGCATTTAAAAAAAAAAAAAATTAGGGTCTGCACTATAAATTAGGGTTAGTCAGGAAAGTGAAAACATATTTTTTTCCTAGGCCTTATTTAAATTAGTTTATTGTAAATAATGGAGGTAAACTTTTTTTTTTCAAGAAACAAAAGATTACATATACTTGTTTAATATTGTGCAAGAATTATTATGCATTGTAGAATCGAATTTTTTCAGATAATAGAAACTAGGCCAATAGGGTATAATAAATGGGGAAGGTTAATGTTTTATACATTAACGTGAAACAATTACCTATAATTAAAAAAAAATTCTCAAGAAGTACAAGGATACAAATTGTCAAACTAAATGGAAATGTTCTTAATATACAGAAGTATAGATTCAGATTTGTTTCTATCAGTGCTCTTTTCATCTAGTTTGGGTTAGTTAAGACTGTCAAAATGGTGAAAAGAGTAGATGAAAGAAGGTGATTAGCTGTTTTAAAAGAAAGGTTATATACTGCTAATTGTGAAAGAATACAACTCTCTTATTATTTAAGGAAAATTTCCCCACCTCATTATTATCACCACCCCTTCAATTTTGTTATGTAAGAAGCAGTATCTGATAGTAAATTTATAGTTGGAGCTGTTTTGAACCAAGGGGTGCCTTCTTTTTGAAATGTATTCTTCAAAGGAAAAATACTTAATGTCATTGTATTCTTATTTGTTTTCTTAAAAAAATTGCTTGGCAAGAATGATTTGAACATATTTTATTATTTAGATATTACAACAAAAGGATCGGACACAAGTTCTTAAAACTTAGAACGTCCTCTCCTTTATAACAATTCATTACACAAAATAATGTTAAAAAATTAAACTGCACTGGAACCAAAGGTCAATACGATTATCTTACATAGGTTGTGCATGTACAGTGGCAAGAATGTGCAGTGAAGGTGGTGTAAGGAATGGTGTAGGTGACCTATTATAAGCATATACATTTGTATAGTCTAAAACAATACTATGATTTGAGATGACCTTGATCTTTATTTCAGGAAGATTAAACATGTTTTTCTACTGGTGGGGAAGACTTATTAAGAATTATTTTTTAAATTTACATGATGGTTAATCAGGATGAGATATTTTCTACTGCCACCAGATTTTGCCAAGGCATTGACCTTTGACCTTCAACTCAAACAGTGATATGTATTTATAGCCATCGTTGTGGATGACCTAACATAACTTCATTTGTATATTTCAAATGAAAATGAATTAGGATGCAATATTTTGAATACATTATAATGTTTTGATATTTAACTTTTTACCTGTGAAGTTGAAAATTATGTGCAGGACATGCTTTGGTTTTAGGTAGTTAGGAGGTCCAAAACAGGATTTCATTGCATCAAACTGTGATTCAACAATCTAGCAATATTAAGCATTTCCTTGTATTTTTGTTTAAAGGACAATAATCTTTGCTCTGTGTGACTGACTGGTGAAGAAAGACTTTTTTCTGGTAATCCTGATTGATCACCCAATCATTTACAAATCTGTTGATTTCATGCAGATATTTTCATTCTTTCCTACAAAACTGTGTAGGCTTAGTGTTACAAAGAACATAAAGTGAACATCTGGGATATTTCCTTGCTTTTGTGGAATATTGGTGATAATTAAGAACCTCATAAGGATGATATTAATGTAGTTGGAGTAAGAGAAAATTTGTGGTTTTAATTTGCATTTAATGTAAAATGCCACTGCTTTGTATCGTGTTTGTTCAGGCTATATGAAAAATTAATAATTAATTATGTAATCACTGAAATTGTACTCAAGTTATAGTGTTGTTAATGTGTTACCAAAACAGGAGGTGATTTACATTGAATTTCATGAAAAAGACCCCTCACTTGCTATTTGATATGATTGCCCAAATTTATAATTTAAATGGTATTGATAGTAAAAATATTTTTTAATAATGAGATTTTGTTTTTAAAACTAATTCCTGTAGGATTTTGATAAGTAATTATGCACCAGTCTAGTAATCTTAGGATTCTCTTTTCTTCGAAATTTATTTTGAGTGGAATTCATATTAAAAAAAAATCCTTTAGTGTGGTACATTTGTAACAATGTTTGCATTTTACATCAGCTATTTTCACCTGCTTGTGACTTGTATATTTTTTCATTGTCAAAATTGTTTGCATTTTTATTGTGACTTCAGACTTTAAACATCTTTTGTAAATAGCTGTGTTAGTGTAACACGTGACAAAATCCTCATTAATCACTACTACCAATAATCAATGCTTTGCTCAGACACAGTTTATTAAATTGTGATGGATAAGAAATCATACAGAATTAATAAAGAACATCATTAGAGGGCATAATTTTACTAAATAAGTGGGAATATTGTTCTTTTAAAAAAAAAAATTTTAAACATAGTTTAGTTCAAACCAGTTACATTTTTAAATACCAGTAAAAGCACAGAGGTAAGATGTTTGTAAGTGATTGGACCACAATTTTTTTTTAAGGAATAAAAACAAGGAAGGAATATAATAACATTGTTACATACACTGTTCATGATCAGTGTAAATCACTGAGCCATATTAGAAACTGTCAAACAATTCTTTCATAATATAGAAAACTCTGTAGAATATGATAAGACAGGGTTACCTCCCTTGTAACACAGCTTTAGAGTAGAAGAAAACTATTGATTATGAGACTAGCCTTTTAGACTGACAATCTGATGTGACTGACAAGAGCCAGATAAAGGTTTTGATAGTTTGAAATGAACAAGTAAGGTACCCTATTCATTGAATGTTTTATAATTAGGTGGTCTCAAGCTGCTATTAAGTTAGACAGAAGTGTATTTCTGTCTTATTTAAGAAAAAAAAGGACTTGAAACTTATAGATTATGGGACTTCAAACTTCTGCCTAGCCTGAATAAATGTTTATGAAAGCTCATTTTCCCTTGTCTGATCTGAGAAAACTAGGTGCAAACAAAATACTTACTTTAATGCAGTCTTTCTATGTGTATACATGCAAACAAAGGCAAATATTTATCACCAAATAGCAAATACATGGAAAAATCAAACTGTTATTTCATGAACAAAATTGAAAGCACATTTGCCTTTAATCCATTATCTTGTGCAATTACAAGTGGTTATATATTAATTCCTAATTGAAATTATATTTATGGTATTAAAATTATGATGATAAAAGATTATTTTTTCAACAGTGCTATCTTGAAGTGTTAATTACTGATTAATTGCTGGTAGGCTATCTCGCTGATGTGCATTAATACTTGACTGATTTTCAATCGCGAGGGTTTAATGAAGATCAGACACTGAGACTTAATATCACATTCGGCCCATTGTAGCGTACTGACGTTGCCATTTATCACTGAGCATCAATATTTTATGCTTGCGTGCTAAACAGCAGGGTTTTATTACACGGAGCAGGCATTTGCTATTGCCAGATAACTTTACCTGAGAATTCAACACTGGTTTAAATCAATAGGGGTTTAGGTAGAGAGATGATATACTGGGCCCCGCTTTTTATCCCCAGGGATGTTTTAACTTCACAATCTCATACACCTAAGACTTTCTAACTGAGTTATTTGCTTTGAATCCTATTAGACTTACATTAATAAAGATTTACACGTTTGATGGAGTGACAACCAGATTTTAAGAAGGTTGACATCTTTTCGGTTTTTGTTTGGTTTTTACCAGGAGTGGTAGATATGTGTCAGACGAGTAAGTAGAAACAAATAGCTAGAGATGTACAGTGTATTGTGGCAGACTTGGTAACAAGTCGTGTGTAATTTTGATTAGCGGGGGCCTTCACTTGCCATTGATCTTTATCCTGAGAGCAAATGCATATAATTTTCTACACTGACAGTACATTACTGATGACATTATGAAAAGGCAATGGGAAATGGCTGCTATTTGAATTCATAATTTGCTGTATAACTATATAATAGCCTGATGAGAACCAGTAAAAGCCATAGAAAATTGCTAAGCTTGTCATTAAAACACTCAAGCCTTTTTTGTAGACAAAGAAGGATACATTGGTGGTAACAATCAAGTGGTACTTCAGGTCCTCAGAAGTTCCTGATAGCGTCTACCAACTCCTAGTGCAAGACAGGCATACTGAAAATAGTGAGTAATGTAGACAATCTGTAGGTAGTAAGTGTATTATACCTGTAGACAGTGTCTATTTATCTGTAGACAGTGTCTACCTACTCCTAGTGCAAGACAGACATACTGAAAATAGTGAGTAATGTAGACAATCAGTAGGTAGTGAGTGTATTATACCTGTAGACAGTGTCTACTGATCTGTAGACAGCGTCTTCCAACTCCTAGTGCAAGACAGGCATACTGAAAATAGTGAGTATTTTAGACAGTTAATTTGTAGGTAGTGAGTGTGTTATACCTGTAGACAGGTCTACTTACTTGTAGACAATGTCTACTAATGCCTGATGCAAGACGAAAACACCAAATACAGTGTGTAATGTAGACATTTAATCTGTAGGTATCTGCAGACAGTGCCAGTAGTTTCAAAGTCCTGGTGCAAGAAACATGCTTAAAATAGTGCGTTTAAAAAGGACAGTAGTCAGTACATGTAAAACTAAAACTGTTATGTGTCAGGGTTTGACATCAACTTTTATGAGTACTAGACCAGAAGGGCTACTTCCAATAATTTTTACTAGCCCTGACCATAAAATCCTGACCAAACTTGAAAATTGACTTTTTATAAACTGCTAATTATAATGGAAAAAAGTTTTGAAACCATACTTCAATAAAGATACCGTCTCTCGCACCTGTTAAGACTCTTCCATAGGTCGCTAGCAGGTCGGGTTAAGCATGACATACAAATATTTTAAGACTTAATTAAGGAACAATCAATGAACTTAGTATAAAAATAATTACCCGAAATATAAATTCATTGTGAATTAAAAAATATATTATTCAATAACTTCATACTAATTTTAAATACTAAACGAAGCTAGTTCCCATCGCAACTTGTCTATTACAGCCGGACTAAAAATAGCTATTGTGTAATGCAGGGAAGTTTTGTTTTACAGAGCGATGGGTGATGTTTACTATCAGACAAATAAGAATTTAAAAAAAAATAAAAATAAAAAAAACTTTTTAGAAATATTTATTTGAAAGACTGAAATGAGGGTTATCATTTATTTCATACACGCGACCAGTCGGTCTAGTTCACAAACATTTTACACGACCGGACCACTTATTTACTAGACAGGGTCGGTCGGACGTGCCTTAGTGTCAAACCCTGTGTGTGACTCCAGTGTACTATTTAGACCAATGCAATGCTGAGAGAAGTCGTGTGTATAATTGGACATAACTTGGTATGGCTCTGTCTGTTTGTCTGTCTTTGAGGAATTCAGATTTCCAGACTTTTTGATGTGATGTTTGACACTTTGCAGCAATTTACTATATTTACTGATGAGTTACAGAAACTTCTGAGTTTCATGTGATTTTGACCAATTTCTGATTTATAATGATATGATACAGAGCAAGATTGTTTTATAGGATTGTGTCCTTATTGTAGAGAATTACTGCCTCTGGATTTATTTTGTGAGCATGATAAAGGGAGATAATGCTTTCAAATTGTAGGGTGCTTAACTGTTATAGAAAACAACCATTTCAATTGATACTGCCTTCCAAGTGTACATATACATACATCTTTACCTACAATCAAGTTTCTTCAATCATTATTTACATGTATGATTTTCTTTTAAATTTTGATTTATTGAAGAAAAAATGCAAATTCATAAACTCGCAAAAATCAAGGAAATTAGAATCCATCAAAACTAGCCTGCTGTTTTCTGTCAGATCAGTGTTCAGCCATTGGTTGCAAAACTGCATGTTTGTAATATCTTTATACCATATTCTGCTATACTGGTGAGATACTGTATCAATATATATATATGTTTTCAGACCACAGAGGAAGTTTAGATTTTTCCCCATAAACCAAGAAATTGATTTTAAAATTATTTTTTGTTTTAGGATTTGATTCTTTAGATCAATTCATTTCCTACAACCATTATGATTGATAGAGCTGCACCCCTAAAAACTAAATGCTGTACACCTGATAACGGTATATTTATGGTACTCATGAGATTTTTAGAAAACCGTCTATGTAGTTCTGAGTGATAAAATAAAATGCTGTTGTCTTGCATTATAAATTATAAATACAGCTGATGAGGTGCTCCTTAATTTTCACTTTCCATATTGTAGCTAACATTATTCTTGTTAACAGATGTTGTAAATTACTAAGTACCCCCTTGTCAAGCTCTACAGTTCTGCAGAAAGTCACTTAAATGTGCATTATTTTTACAGACCTTTGGTAATTCAAGTGTTTTCCTAGAAACATTTTGTTTATTAATGAATTCAGTAAACATATATTAAACTGTTTTTAAAACCCAAGGAAGCTGGATTTCTTTGATGGTTTTTTTTTAATTTCTAAATCTCAATCTTTCCTTGTAAGAATTACTATGATATTCTAGACAGGCAAATCAATGACATTTGAAGAGGCTCTTAAATGATTATATTGATGTCATGAAGTTAGTGCAATAACAGTTTTTGCCAATACATCCAATAATACCCAGATCAGATATTAAAGCAAGGTATACAGGGGGCTCCATACCGAGTTACAAAGCACAGCGATAATTGATCAGTGCTGGTGAACATCTTATATTTCCTCTGTTCAATTCTTTCTTAACATCAGATAGATTTGGCAACAACAACAAAATCCTGTGAAAACATAAAAGTTAGCCTGTGGTGGACTGCTGTTTTTTTTCTCTCTTTGTAATGGCATGCTAACTTGGTTGATGGGATTTTACCTCATATGCTGTCCCTTGGCAATTGCGAATTGATTATGCTTTTGTTGGTTGTCAATTTGTTCAGAATTGATGTCTGTGTAATTTTGCTTGCAAAGGATGCTGGTACTAAATTTGGGAGATCTCTGAACGGTTTCAATGTGCTGTATTGGGGGAATTTTCTGTAAATTTTTCTAGAACTCTCCTCCCTCAAATCAATTTTATTTAGAAGGGGAATAGGTGATGATATGGTGGTTGGAAGTATCATTAGAATTTTAATGTTTTTGATTCTGTGTGACTCTTCGGTAGGATTATAGGCTCCCCAAGGTCATGAAAATGAAGAAAAGCAACTTTTTTTTTTTAAATAAAAAAAATTGTAAACAGTAAAGGTATAATATAAAGACCATTGTTGTCAATTTGGAAAGTACATAATAGATTTTTAAAAAATTTGAGCCCCTCTTAACAGCTCTATGTCCTCAGGTATCAGAGTTATTTGCAAATGTATATATAAACACAAGAAACGAAGATCCTGATTATTATTTGATGTAATTGCCATTGTAAAGTTGTCAGACTAATAATTTACTATTGACAAAATAGGCAGGCTTACTGAAATGGTGTAGAGTATTTCTGGAATGTATGTATGGTGAGAGATATCAAATCTGTTTGGATAATTTTATTGATTCACTAAACAGTGTAACTCCACATAGAATGTGTACAAGAGATATCAACTTGTATATATACACAGGGCTATAACACCAGCCACCTGCATGCCTTGTCTATTTTATGAATATTGCACAGACATTTTTTTTCAGGATTTGGCTTGTGTTTGAAAAGGAATGCTTAGCTAATTTTTTGTATGCTTTGAGTAAGATGGTATCTTTAACATTTGAAATTAAGCCATGATAAACAGAAAATAAAAAAAAATCTGTTAAGCTGATAATTCCTTCCATTAGAGATTGAATTTCATTGCTCTTTCAAAAATGCTATTTCACACTTGATATGTTTTCAGATGGCTTTTAATGTGCAAAACAACTTCCATTGCTTCTTCTAGCATTTCCCAAAGGTGCAGCAACAAATCAAAAATCTGTTTTCTTTTGCTGAGATGTTGTGATCAGAATATCACATAAACTTTAGAGTGAGTGAATAAACTTGTATTGATGTATCAATTAAAGCATAGGGTTATTGCATCCCACCCAAGTTAATCAGTGTCTGTCTAGAGAGCATTCAGCTCCCCGGAAACAAAATGTGTGTATCTAATGTAATCCCAGTTGTTCTCGTAGAATGCTAATTCAATCAGTTTGGACATGTTTTGAATAGTGTATTGAGAAAAGAGCAATTCGCTTAGATTAATGCATGTTTAACATGCTGGCTAAAAAGTAATCAATGAATTTAATGTTTGCGTAGTGATAATTTCTCACAAATATGGTTACTGGATTTGGTTTGTTGTCAGATTTTAACAACAAATGAAAACTCTCTAGGGTGGCGATCAGTAAGTCACTGAGAGACAATGGGGATCATGCAGTAATACTCCACAGGAGGAAGTAATGCACTGCGGGGGGAATATAAAGAAAGTTACACCTATCTAACTCTCAATCTGTTCACTGCTCTTTTTTTCTGGTGTGTTCTGAGTGTCTAGTCTGAATATAACCACAAAACCATTCTGTCTCCAGAAAATGATGTTGAATAAACTGCCTCCTGAAACAGAAAGGAAGAGTGCTTTATTAGACAAAGTGCTAATAATAAATAAGATAAACAGAGGGCTGAGAGATAAGGGTTTGTCAGAACTTATCATCATCTCCAGCTGAGGGGGTTATGATAGGGTGTTCTAGATAAAGCAATTTCAGACCTATAATCCACTGCATTGATAGGTAAATCATGCTAAAGTCATGTGATACAAAATGGTAGTGATGCATTGCATGGGTTAGAAACTTTTTCCAAGAAGTATTAAATACCATTTTCATGTTTCTTTACCAGACTGTATCAATAGGAAGCGGAGTCTTTGCTTAGACTATATATCATAACTCTGAAGATAGAGAGTTTATATCTCTATAAACAATCACACATGCAGGCTGAATCTGTGCATCAAAAAGCCAGATGGACCTAAATCCTAGACATATCTGTGTCTGCTGGTAGTCTTTTCTATGACCTGTTTTTACCATCATGTAATTATTTATCAGATGCTCAGTTTAATTAAGTTTCCAACAAAAATTTTTTTGTACTAATGAGGAAAAAAAATGTTGAAAAAAAAAAAATTTGGAAACTTAATTTTTTTTTGTAATCATGACCTACCATCCTGGTAGCTCAGTTGGTAGA